TTTCAGCGTAAACGATCATAATTACGCCGTATGCTCGTCGCTTACCGCAGTAAACAGCTCTTTTATGTCATCTATTTCCTAGACTGAAACGCTAGGGTCTAGAAACGGAAATTCACCTGTGTCTGTCTGTAACACTTGGTACAAATGACCATTCTTGTGGTACAAAGTAACATAGTCATGGTACAAATGACCATTTTCATGGTAGAAAGTACCGTAGTCATGGTACAAGTGACCATTTTTGTGGTACAAAGTACCATGGTCGTGGAACAAGTGACCGTTTTCGTGGTACCAAGTACCAGAGTCATGGTACATGTGACCATTTTCATGGTACAAAGCACCATAGTCATGATACAAGTGACCATTTTCGTGGTACAAAGTAATGGCGTAACCAGATGGGGGCTGGAGGGGGCTCAGCCCCGTCTAGAAAGGTTTCTGACCTCTCTGGCTGAAGGAAATTACCTATGACTGGTGTATTAATAGCAGTATACATATAGTTTATCCACAAAGCAAGCATTTATAACAGAGAAAAGTTCAGATTTTTATGAGATATTTCTTAAAAGATAGTGTAGAGTACAGTTTCCCTGCATTTTGAAAAATTTTCGTTTCGCAAATTAGGTTGTTTCTGTAACATTTCAATTTTCTGACTTCTTCTGTTCATTTCAGTTTTGAATATGAAATAGGATTTCATTAGTTATGGAGTGGCTTCGGCAATCAAAGATAATTCATAACATAATTTCTGTGCCTATTACTCCAAAATCACGAGTTCCTATTTGAATGAATTGTACAGTTTCGAGCCAACCATTTTTTTTCGGTTTCGAGAAGCTACCGTCTTCAGCGTTATGCTCTTCTGCAACAAATAATGAATGTTTATTTCTTCTACAATTATTTCAATGTCAAAAACTGTAAATTTTATTAAGACAAAAAGGTTTTTGCTGTGCGATGTTTCTTTAAAAAAATCATAGAAAAGAAAAGCAGCGAAAAATAACCTTATAACAGTGCTGCAAAATTTTTTATTGTCTTTTGTGTCGAGAACTTCGGTACGTTTGTGGGAGCCTAGCCCCCTCTAGCTATATTTTCTGGTTACGCCACTAGTACAAAGTACCATAGTCGTGGTACAAATGACCATTTTCATGGTACAAAAGTACCACTTTGGTGGTACAAGCGACCATTTATTTGACACAATTGGCCCTTTTCATTATACAGATGACCGTTTCTATGGCTCAATTCACCATTTTCAGGGCACAATCAACAATTTCTATGGTACAGTTGACCATTCTTATGGCGCCAATGAGCATGTCTGTGTCACAATTGGCCATGTCCGTATTAGAAATGACCATTACTTTGACATAAATCACCATGTTAGTCGTTATAATTAACTAAAGCATAAACTTTATTATATACATTAGCATCTTTCAATATTTTCTGTGAACTATTTGAATATATCTATAGTACGTAATATACAACATGTTACAAATATTAATAATTTCTCATAAACTCATCATTATACAGAATTCATTTTTATTTAAAAATATAAGGACATCTTTGTCATCATTCCGTCAGTCTAGGGCCAAGGAAATCGACATTCAATGTCGATGAACGTTACTTGTTATTAATGATAATGCTAATGATACGAATTTATTTACCGTTTTATTGCAATTTCTATTTAAAAAGAAGATGTAAAAGCTTTCGATGTGTTCAAGAAACCATTTTCAAACACAAAAGACAAAAAATTAGAATTGTATATAACAATTTTTTTTCTTTTCTATTTTTTTCCTATAGCAATGTTGACAACCATTGCAGCTCGATAATTATATATGATTCTCCTTCTTGCATTGCAGTGTTTATCAACATTACTATAAAAAACAAATAGAAAAGAAAAATAAATTACTATGTACATTTCTTACTCTTTGTCTTTTGTGTTTAAAATAGTATGTTGAACACATAAAAAATGTACACGTCTTTTTTTTTGAATAAATGTCGAAAAAAACTGATAAATGAATTTCGTATTATTAGCATTCTCTGAGCTACTACAGCAACAGGATACTTTTTGAGATTAACGACACTCTTTTTTCACCTGGATTGTTGATAATCACATCATACTTAGACTATTATTAGAAAGAAAAGCTGGTTTCAACATATGCCACGAAAACCCGTCCTTTATGACTATATGTAAGATTTGTAGAATGTATTATCATTACAAAAGTAGACAAGACAAAAAAAAATTTCACCATTTATCAAAAGTCATTGTACTGATCATATAATCTATACAGTAGAATGAGCATTCAAAAACTTCTGATAACACGCTGGCCAAATTTGAGTACATACTTAGTTTTTTTTTATTAACTCTTTACACTATTATCGTTTGATCTCTAATTTATTTATCAAATAAATTATGATCGCTACTCTATCAATGGTCAGAGTTTCCAGCGTAAACCACGAGAAGTGGATGAAAAAAATTGTATCCTATATGCTCTAGTGGGATTAATAGAAAAGTTTATTATTGTAGCTTTTATAATAATATTCAAAATCCGATCTATGTTCTCGAGTGATATAATGTCATTATGGTACCATGCAATTATAATGGTGACACAATGGATAGTGCTCCAGTATATCAATCATTGGTTTTCAGTTTTAGTTTCTGAAATTTAATCCACTGTGGGTTATAAAAGGAAAAATTTGTAAAACAGTGTTGGTTATCGTATAACCGGGACGAAAAGGGACTTTAATACGCCCAGTCTCAGGAGAATTTCATATTTCAGTTTTGTGGCAATCTGAGCTCATAATATTCAATAACTAAAATCAGACTGTGTGCTCATAGAAACTAATACGTTGAGAGCTTAACCATTTTGAACTTTGATCACTGCAAAGCTCGAATCGAATGTTACCATGAGACTTGATGCCATTAATCTATTATTCGAACCTATTCTACAACGGTTGAAGGTCATCTAAAAATTTTCCATTTTCTTACGAATAGTAATTTACATTTTGAAAAATGAAACTGAAAGTCAGCGATTAAGATACTAAGGCATCGTCGATTGTACCGTCGTTATGAGTTTATGAAGACTTTGATTTCGAACAAAAATAAAAAATAAATCGATTTTTAATCCCTAAAAATACAGGATAGAGGTACAGAGGCATTTTCGGGTGTGATACATCTCTGACAAACAGCAACATTCTCATCCACAAAATTTGTTGATAACAATTTTGGTTTCCCATGTCGTCAAAATCGCGAAAAAATTGGCGATTAATCACGATTTATCGAAACGATAATCGTGCGCTAAATCGCGATAAATCGCCGATTCTTTTCGATTACTTTGACGATTTTTATGATAAATCGTGATTTTACAGTCCACTTTTCTCCTCCACTATATAGATAATTCGTGCAGCTTTACGCCTGGAAACATTATTTATACGGTTATAGTCAGAACCTCTTATTACTGATTTATATTATCGAATACTTTTATTAGAAAATTAAGTGTTTACATTATTTTATCTGAGCAAAATACGTAACAAAAACTAAAGCAATAATGCGGCATGCAACTTTACACATTTTGACGAGAACAGCTTCGAAGAAAAGAGAAAAAAGTAATAAAATATTCATATGTAGAAACTGAAGTTAAATCAACGTTTCTCGGAAAACATCTCGCATATTTGTTTTTGTTCATAAATTAAAAATCTGAAAGAGGAAAAATGAATAAAAATTCGAAATAAAAATAATAACTACATACAACGATGAAAATAGAAGACTTCTTCCTAAAAAAAACGAATTTTTCAACTTTACTTTAATCAGAGATTGATAGAACAATCTAAAACTGAATCTACGACGAAAAGAATTCTAATTTTAAAAAAATACTTGATCTGAAAAATCTGTGTGAAGCTACCACAACACGACCATTGAGCACGACCAGTAG